GGGACAGGCACGGCAGTTCCGGGCACGCTGGCACAGGACAGGGGACCGAGGATCAAGCCAGCATAGCCAGCCAAAAGAACAAGGCAGAAGGCAGGCACGGCCAGTGGAGGGGACAGGGCAGGGGACAGGCACGGCTGGCACAAGGGACCGGGGATCAAGCCAGCACAGCCAGCCAAAGGGACAGGGCAAAGGGCAGCATGGCCAGGGCAGGGGACACGCATGACTGCCCCGGGGCACAGGCACAGCCGGCACAGGGGACAGACACGGCCATGCCAGGGCACAGGCACAGCTGGCACAGAGGACAGGGTATGGCCAGTGTGTGGGTCAGGCACAGCCAGAACATGGGACAGGGCAGGGGACAGGCGTGGCCATCCCAGGGAATAGGCACAGCTGGCACAAGGGATAGGGCAAGGGACAGGCGTGTCCAGAACAAGGGATAGGGCGAGGAACAGACATAACCATCCCAGACAGGCAGGGGACAAGCACTGCCATCCCCAGCAGACACCCCAGGGGTCCCTCACCCCAGCCCCGCATGGGGAAGGGGCCCAGCTGAGCCCCCGGGGCAACAGCGCAGGGCCCAGCCCCACCAGGGCAGCAGCAATGTCCGAGCAATGTCCAGGGCTGAGCCCAGAGCCCTCTCCACACCGGAGCACGGCAGGGTCCCTGCAGGTGAGGCTGTGTCCTCAGAGCGCGCTCTCCTTGCAGGTCCCGCTGAGGCTCCGGGGGCGGCTGCGCTCCAGCCGGCGCGTGGACAGGAGCCGGCGCAGGGACGAGGTGGAGCTCAGGTCCCCGCAGCTCTGCAGGTGGATTCCTTCGTGGGGCCGCTCTGCCCCCGGCCAGGCACTCCAGGGAACCTGCAACCCACGGGGATAGGCTGCAGCCACAGGGATGGCAGCCCTGCCCAGGGCACCCTCCCGCACTCAGCCCCCTGCGCTCAACCCTCCACGCTCCAGTGCAGCCACAGGTGGCACACAGGGCAGGAGGACAGAGGTGCCAGGGATGGCAGAGGCGTGCATCATGCGCCCACGCTGGCATTTGGGACAGGCTCGTTCCCGTCAAGGCCTCCCGGGCTGCGCAAGGACTCCGGCATCCCGTAAAGCTGAGTCGCCGGGATGTCCCAGCATCTACCTCCGGGTGCAGTGACTCAGGGGCAAAGCCAAAGCCGTTGCAACAGGCATGATTTTCCCACCCGTGGCTCCAGTGGGGATCAAGGAAAAGGAGCTGCCCCCCAGGAAGGGCTGGGCAAGGACAGTGTTTCAGGAAGAACGCTCTGCCTGCAGCCAGGGTGCCAACATAATGGGGGTGTGGCAGGGGAACGGAAACCATGGAAAGGCCAGGGTGGAGGTGCTGATGGGGACAGAAGGGAGAGTGTGGATAGAAGTTCTGTGGGGAGGAGGAGTTGCCCATCCCCTGTGGCTTCCAGAACCCACCTGTTTGTGCCCGTGGAAGCTGTGCCCGGACACCTCCATGCCAGCTGCCAGGCTGCGCTTGGGTCTCTGCAGGAACCTGGCCACCAGCCCCCGGGTGCCCCGGTAGCCCTTGAGGTCCCCCAGGGAGCGGGTGGTTGTCTTTGACAGCTGCTGTGGCACCTTCTTGCAGGGTGGCAGCTTGTTCTTCCCCACCGAGCCGGCCCGGAGCAGCGGCGGGGAGTCACAGTGGGAACGGCGGAGCAGGCAGGCCTCAGAGCACAGCCCTGCAGAGTGAGAGGTGTCAGACCTGGGACACTGCTGTGACAGACCTGGGACACTGCTGTGAGAGACCTGGGACACTGCTGTGAGAGACCTGGGACACTGCTGTGACAGACCTGGGACACTGCTGTGACAGACACGGGACACTGCTGTGACAGACCTAGGACACTGCTGTGACGGACCTGGGACACTGCTGTGACAGACACGGGACACTGCTGTGACAGACATGGGACACTGCTCTGACAGACCTGGGACACTGCTCTGATGGATCCATCCCCACCATCAGACCTAGGACACTGCTTCAGCACACCCAGGCCACTGCTCTGATGGACCTATCCCCACTGTCAGACCCGAGGACGCTGCTCCCAGCAGATCTATCCTCACAGGCCTGGGGTGCTGCTGTCTCCCATCCCCAGTCAGCAGGAGCAGTCCCACCGCTGGTCCCCAATGTCCCAGCCCAAGCAGGGTGGGCTCAGTCTCCAGAGGGCTACAGACCCTCCCCATGCCCCCAGTAGATCGCAGTGCCCTGACCTGTATCAGCGGAGGAGTCGGATACGGTGTCCTCCAGTGCTTTGGTATAAAGTACTTCTCTGAAATCTGCTGGGAGCAGAGAGAGCCCTCAGGTCTCAGCAGCTGTGCAGACCCCAGGCAGCCCAACCCTCTGGCCCCCCAGGCCAGCAGACCTCCCCTGCTCCCCCCATTCCTTCCCAGACTGGCTCTAATCCCATCTGACCACAGAAAAACATCCAAACCCTGCGGCACATCCCGGCTGCACCGCACAGACCCTGCCACGCGCCCACCCCGTCCCGCCGGTCACTGTCACCTACCGGCACGGCCGGCCATGGGGACACCGGGGTCACTGTGTGACCTCAGGAGCGGGCGCGGGGCCAGCCCCGGGGCCGGGGACGAGGGGCAGGAGGTCTCGCTGTTGCGCCGGGGGCGGCCGCGGCCGGTGTCCGTGGGGCG